CTCTCTCTCTCTCTCTCTCTCTCTCTCTCTCTCTCTCTCTCTCTCTCTCTCTCTCTCTCTCTCTCTCTCCCTCCCTCCCTCTCCTGGTTGGGCTGCCAGCCTGCCTGTTTGTCTTTGTCTGCTCTCTGCTTCTCTGTCTGTCTCTACCTTTCCTGGCTGCTTGCAGGCAAATGGTAGGCAGCTGGCAAGCAAGGAGGCGGGCGGGAAGCTAGGCAGGCAACTAGGCCAGCAGGCAGGCAAGCAGGCAGCCAGGCAGCCAGGCAGCCAGGTACCCCATCCTCCAGCCAGCTGGTCTGTCAACCACCCACCCACCTACCTGCCTGGCAGGCCGCCAGCCCCCCAGCCCACCTGGCCATCTGCTGGCAAGCCCGCTCTCTCACAAACCTGCACACCCACTAGCCAGAACAGAACAGAGCAGAGCGGAGCAGAGCAGAGAAGAACAGAGAAGAAGCAGAGCAGAAGAGAAGAGAAGGGAAGAGAAGAGAAGAGAAGAGAAAAGAAGAGAAGAGAGGAGAAGAGAGGAGAGGAGAGGAGAGGAGAAGAGAAGAGACAAGAAGAGAGGAGAAGAGAAAAGAGAAGAGAAGAGGAGAAAAGAGTGAAGGGAAGAGAAGAGAAGAGACAATAAGAGAGAAGAGGAGAAGAGGAGAAGAGGAGAAGAGGAGAAGAGGAGAAGAGGAGAAGAGAAGAAGAGAAGAAGAGAAGAGAAGAGAAGAGAACAGAGCAAAGCAGAGCAGAGAAGAACATAGCAGAGCAGAGCAGCGCAGAATAGAACAGAACAGCGCAGAGCAGAACAGAACAGAACAGAACAGAACAGAACAGAACAGAGTAGAGTAGAGTAGTGCAGAAACGGACAGAAACGGGCAGAAACCAACAGAAGCGAACAGAAACGGAAAGAAGAGAAGAAAAGAGAACAGACGCAGAGCAGAGCAGAGCAGAGCAGAGCAGAACAGAACAGAACAGAACTGAACTGAATGGGACCGGATGGAACCGGATGGAACCGGATGGAACCAATGGGATGGAACCAAATGGAATGGAACCAAACAGTACCAAATGAAACCAAACAGAACAGAAGTGAAGCGAACCGATCCAAACGGAACTGAAAGGGACAGATGGATAGACGTACAGGCAGATGAAGCAGCCAGCCAACCAACAGCCAGCGGACCAGTGAGACACAAGACAGAACAGGCTGACGAACAGACAGAGCAGACACCCAGACAGAAACAAACAGACAGAACAGAACGACTGAGGAATGGCCTGCCAAATGGACTGACAAACAGCTACGTGCAGAGCAGACAAGGCGGACTCTGGAGTCTGGACACTTTTAACAACCTTTTTTCTTCCAGGCAAAGGAAGACCATTATGCTGTGTCAGAAATTGTAGAGAAACATCGGCTCATCTCTGGAATTATGGACAGCCCACGACTTTGGGCATATTTTACTACATTCATTACTCTAAAAGAATTGCTATAAGTGGTTGCTGACACACAGAGGTTCGGACCCAGGATCTTGCACGCATGGTTGACCGGGGGTGTTTTTTTTTTCGCCAAATTTTGCACTGGACCTTGAGCTGCACGACCTGTAAAATGAGCTTCTTCTTCTTCATCTTCTTCTTCTTCTTCTTCTTCTTTTTTTAATATGAACAACCCGTGGTAATGGGCTGGGGTTGCTGATAAGAAGAGCAGGCACCACTAGCACTCCCTGTAAAATGAGCAAAAAGTTGAAGGGCAAGGACGTTGAGGTATCATCGTGAAAAAATGACTGGACCCGGGTAAGTCAGGAACTCCGTTCATCTGGTCTTATTGGGATTCGAGCTTTCGTCTGTATTTCACATACTTGCGGCGCATCGACGTGCGCTGCACCGTGCACACGCGCCGCACTGCGCACAGCGCACGACGCGCGCACACGGGGTGCGGCGCACCCCGAAAATAAGGGGTCGAGAAAAGAAAAGAAAAAAGTTGGGGAGGGGTGTTTTGGACCCGAGTGGGATGTCGCGTCATAAACCACAAAAGACTCATTCATTTACTTATTGAAATATACAAAATTTGAGGCCGCGCGGGGCCTCCGAAAAAAAAAAGGGGGGAAGTTCGTTTTTTTGTTTGTGTGTGTGTGTGTGTGTGTGTGTGTGTGTGTGTGTGTGGCGACGCGGTTGGTTGGTGTTCCCCCGTACTATACATAGACTAGCGAGAGGATGAGAGATACATAGACTATATATATATATTATAGGGTTCAGCCTCCTGATGAGTTGGCGAAACTCCGACGAAACAGTTTGTCACAGCCCCTAGTTTGTTGTCCTCTTCTCCCTCTCTGCCTACGGTATACCAGGCAGCTCTGTTTGACAATATATATATATATGTATACACACACATATATACTGTTTGTGACGATATATATATATGGCAGTGGTTGGGGCCGTCGCTACGCGGCCATGCTGTGCCTCTAGTGCCAGCGGCGTGTCTGGAGTGTATTTTTTGGCTGTGACAGACCATTCTTTGTTTCGTGGGTGTTTTGCTGGCTTGTGATGGGTGTGAACCGACAGTCTATAGAGTTTTCCATATGGTGTGGGTGAGTGATAGTCTGCTTTGATTTTCGTCACAGGTACCTTGGGGGCAGTGATTTGTGCCCACCTCAGGGTATCAGTTGTCGCGCAGTCGTTGATGCTTAACCACAAATGGGGTTAAGATGGATTATCACTTACAGTGTAATCAGCTAGGGTATTCTGCAGACTGTTGAGGGTTTAGACTCCTGATGAGTCGGTGAAACTCCAACGAAACAGTTTGTCACAGCCCCTCGTTTCTTGTCTTCTTCTCCATCTCTGCCTATGGTTTACCGGGCAGCTCTGTTTGACGAAAGTCCAAACTGGTCGATTTTATGATACTTGTGACTTTTCAATTTTAAAGCCTGATACAAAAATAATCATATATAAAGTAAATATGATTCATTCAAACTCTAAACTAGTTATTGGAAAACCTTGGTTACATAATGCAATAGTAAAAGGTCGCATTTTACATTCTTACCGTGATGACAAAGTTACTATTTATAGAATGCATTCGAAAAAAAAGATGYGTCGAAAACAAGGCCATAGACAAAATATTACACGATTTATTGTAGATGGTATTTTTTTAGATGGCAAAAATATTTAGTAAGATACATAATAATGATCAATAATCTAATAATTAATTGTATAATTTAAATTCTACAATATATCGTCAAATAGAACTGCCCGGTAAACCGTAGGCAGAGAGGGAGAAGAGGACAACAAATGAGGGGCTGTAACAAACTGTTATATATAAACAGAAAATAAATCTACATTGTTGTCTATTTTAGATTTATTTTCTGTTTATATGTATATATATATTCTTCCTTGAGTCAATAGAAAGGTCAAAGTAATCTCYTTTTACAAAAAAAAAWGACTTGAAAGAACCCTTTTTCTCATTACGCCCAATAGGATTCGAACCTATGCTAGAGATTTAGAAGATCTCTGTCCTATCCTTTAGACGATGGGCGTTATAAACGATATAATACGATAGACGGTATATGAATAT